ATCTTAGAGGGCTTTTCCGACCTTAACAATTCTATGATTTCATTATTCTACCTTTGCAGCATCTCCCAGTCCTCATTACTTTGAGGACAGGGAAGCTCAGAATTGGGAGACGTGCCCAGGTGTCAGGACATGATCTGGGAGGGAGACACGATGGGATCATGGTAAAGGGGGGGTGAACCCCTCCACCAGTGAGTCACAGAATCACTGATCTTAAAGCTCATTTCATTCCAAACCCCTGCCATGGGCAGGGACATCTTCCACTGTCCCAGGATGCTCCAAGCCCTGTCCAACCTGACCTTGGACACCTCCAGGGATCCAGGGGCAGCCACAGGGTGCCCTCATAGCCAGGAATTTCTTCCCAATATCCCATCCATCCCTGCCCTCTGGCAGTGGAAACCATTCCCTGTGTCCTGTCACTCCAGGCCCTTGTCCAAAGTCCCTCTCCAGCTCTTTTGGAGCTGCTTTAGAAATCCATCCCCTACAAATGTGTGCTCTGGTGGTGGCTGGAGAAAGGAAAATTCCATGTTTGTGCATCCTTTGGTCGCTTTTTAAAGCAACACGTGTCTGAATCTGCCCCTTTTGAAAGAAAAATAGTAGTGGGGAAACAAAGGCCACCCAAAATGACAGGGAACACCCGGTCCCGTGTGCTGGAGCTTCAATCCCACTGCAGGATGACGAGATGAGGATCACCAGGTAGACATCAAGTGCAAACGATCCATCTCACCACACTGGGAGTTTGCTTTTAGCTCTCAGTCTGTCTGGTGACTAATTAAACAAACAGGAGTTCCCTGCCAACAAATCCGGGCCATCTGCCTGGTCCTCCGGCTCCATCCCAATAAATGCTCCACCAAGGAGGCCCTTTCCCCTCACCTGAGCGCTGGCAGCCCCCGCTGCTGTCGGGGTGTGCTTTGGGGTGGCCTGTGGAGATGTGAGGATGCTCCATCTGCGCGTCTCGCGCGGGAACGCGGAGCGAGGCTCCAGCCCCACGAGGAGCTCCGGCTGGGAACGCTCACACCCCGCTAATTTAAGGGTTGCCAAGCTGGCTGTGCCAAGAACGCCTCCCAGGTTCTGCATTTTGCATGTCTAAAGTGGGAACGGTAGCGATGGGAAGGATATTTAGGGCTGAAGCAGTAAATGCATCTCTCTGTGAGGTTGGGTAGGGCGGTGGGAAATGGTGTCCCCCCCAACACCAGCACACCGTGGATGAAAAAAGGACCAAAGCCGAAGTTTCTGTCCTGTGCTCCGGGAGACACCAAGACCATGCTTACTAATTAATCAAAAAATAATCATCCACCACTCAGGACCCCACAGTTTCTGTTCCCCAGAGTGTCCCAAGGAGGCAGCTGTGGAGGAGTGAGACCCTGACGTAACAGCACACGCCTGATGTTTGGAGGTTTCTATGGTAATTAAAAAACAGATCTGTGACCCGTGGAAGAAATTCCTTGCTGCATTCCGTGCTCTGCAGGGCGGGTGCCCGTGCAGATCCGTGTGATGGAAGGATCCTCAAGCTGTCTGGGAGCAAATCTTCCCTGGCTGCAGTGGGGGATTCACCAACACCCCCATGACCAACTCTCTTCCCTGCGGATGGAGAATCCAAAGTGCAGACCACGTGTCCTGGGAGCAAAAACACCCCATGCAAAACAGAAGGAAGACTGAGTGCAGAAGCAGGATAATTCTCTTTTATATGGTAATTCCTATGAGACCTTGGGATCTTTGCAGATCCAGTTGGAGCTGGGCTGCAAGTCCCTGGGTAGGAAGCAGAGGCTGTTAGTGGGGCTGTGCATTGTCCGTGTTGTGGGCTGGGGCAGAGCAGATGCTGGGCTGGGGTGGGTCATGGAATCGTGATTGTTTCAGGAGGGTCTTGGCCAGCCCTGCTCCTTCCACCTGGTTATCAAAGCAAAACTTCACATATTTCATTCAGTAGCAAGTGGCTATCATGGCAAAGCGCACACAAATTTGCATTAACACTATAACTAACAATACAAATACAATCCCACCCTGTGCCTGAGGCCATTGTCCAAACTCTCCTGGAGCTGTGGCAGCCTCGGGGCTGTGCCCATTCCCTGGGGAGCCTGGGCAGTGCCCAGCACCCTCTGGGAGAAGAACCTTTCCTGATATCCAACCTAAATCTCCGCTGGCACAGCTCCAGCCATTCCCTGTCACTGTCACAGAGAGCAGAGATAAGAGATCGGAGCTGCCCATCCAATGCCCCTCATGAGGAAGCTGCACCCTCCATGAGGTCTCCCCTCAGCCTCCTCTTCTCCAGGGTCAGTACAGCAACATTTAGATTTCTGTTTACCATCTCAGACAGAAAATAAGAGGCCTGTGGTAATATTACCCAAGCAGGTGGTCTAAGCAAATTAGTGAATCCTGATGATTCTCAAGTTCAAAGGAAGCAGTTGCTCATCTCTGTGGAAGCTATGTGATAACATACTTAGCTGAAGAAAGGATGAGTGTATCCACCAGCACACAATGGCCCAGATTTCCCAGCTCATTAAACCCAAATATTTGTGAAAATACCGTGGTAAGCAGGCTGAGATAATTAAACACATCACTTCCATTTGTTCCTAAACACAGTGTGGGAATTGGCCACTGGGATGGTAGCATTTCCCTTACCTTGAGTTGTGAAGTGGAGGTGTAAAAAAAAAAATTACACCCTTCAAAACTCAAACTCGAACAAAAAAGAAATACAATAAAATTAAAAATAAAAAGTAAACAATAAAACCTATGTGGGTCTGTATTTCCAAACTGGATGAGGCAGACATTAAAAAAAAAAACAAAAAACCCCACAGAATTCTTGAAGGATTTGGGTTGGAAGGGACCTTAAAGACCATCTTCCAGGCTTAGCATGACTGTCCACATGGATCAGCTCTCAGTGTGGATGTACAACCACTGCTCTTTAAGCCCTGTTAGTAGAAAATGAAGTGTTGCACAGCCCAAATCCTGGTGAAAGCAGCACGGGCTGACTCCTCTGGTGCTGAAGGCAGCGATCACTGGGTGATGGAGGATGAGGGCTGGTGGGAAAAGCACATTTAACCCTCTGGCTTGACCGCAGATCTGAAAGAGAAAGAGGAGTGGCAGCATTTGGGTGCAAATACCTAGAGAAAGGAGCACTGGGAAACACTGGTTTGCATGGAAGGGCTGCTCACATTGTGTTTGCTCAGCCATTGTCAAGGGGCTGCTGTGAGAAGATCCCATGTCCTGTCTGAAATGCTGGGAGAGCAGGGACATCGCCTCTCCAGCAGTGTCAGCTCTGCCCTGCACACT